GATATTTGCAAAGTACATGCGGATCTGAATGTCGCAGATCCGTTGACTAAACCTCTTCCGCGAGCAAAACATGATCAACACCAGAACTCTATGGGTGTTCGATTCATCACAATGTAACTAGATTATTGACTCTAGTGCAAGTGGGAGACTGTTGGAAATATGCCCTAGAGGCAATAATAGAAGGATTATTATTATATTTCCTTGTTCATGATAATTGTCTTTTATTCATGCTATAATTGTATTATCCGGAAATCGTAATACACGTGTGAATACATAGACCACAATACGTCCCTAGTAAGCCTCTAGTTGACTAGCTCGTTGATCAACAGATAGTCATGGTTTCCTGACTATGGACATTGGATGTCGTTGATAACGGGATCACATCATTAGAAGAATGATGTGATGGACAAGACCCAATCCTAAGCATAGCACAAGATCGTGTAGTTCGTTTTGCTATAGCTTTTTCTATGTCAAGTATCTCTTCCTTAGACCATGAGATCGTGTAACTCCCGGATACCGTAGGAGTGCTTTGGGTGTACCAAATGTCACAACGTAACTGGGTGACTATAAAGGTGCACTACAGGTATCTCCGAAAGTGTCTATTGGGTTGACACGGATCGAGACTGGGATTTTTCACTCCGTATAACGGAGAGGTATCACTGGGCCCACTCGGTAGTGCATCATCATAATGAGCTCAAAGTGACCAAGTGTCTGGTCACGGGATCATGCATTACGGTACGAGTAAAGTGACTTGCCGGTAACGAGGTTGAACGAGGTATTGGGATACCGACGATCGAATCTCGGGCAAGTAACATACCGTCTGACAAAGGGAATAGTATACGGGGTTGCTTGAATCCTCGACATCGTGGTTCATCCGATGAGATCATCGAGGAGTATGTGGGAGCCAACATGGGTATCCAGATCCCGCAGTTGGTTATTGACCGGAGAGCCGTCTCGGTCATGTCTGCATGTCTCCCGAACCCGTAGGGTCTACACACTTAAGGTTCGGTGACGCTAGGGTTGTATGAATATGAGTATGCAGCAAACCGAATGTTGTTCGGAGTCCCGGATGAGATCCCGGACGTCACGAGGAGTTCCAGAATGGTCCGGAGGTAAAGAATTATATATAGGAAGTGCTATTTCGGCCATCGGGAAAGTTTCGGGGTCACCCGGTATTGTACCGGTACCACCGGAAGGGTCCCGGGGGTCCACTGGGTGGGGCCACCTATCCCGGAGGGCCCCGTGGGCTGAAGTGGGAGGGGAACCATCCCCTAGTGGGCTGGTGCGCCCCCCCTTGGGGCCCCCTGCGCCTAGGGTTGGAAACCCTAGGTGGGGGGGCGCACCACTTGCCTTGGGGGGCACTCCACCCCCCCTAGCCGCCGTCCCCCTTGGGAGATTGCATCTCCTAGGGCTGGCGCCCCCCCGCCCCTTGGGGGCCTATATAAAGGAGGGCAGGGGGAGGGCAGCCGTACCCTGTGTCTTGGCGCCTCCCTCCCCGTGCTACACCTCGTCCTCTTCCCGCAGCAGCTTGGCGAAGCCCTGTCGGAGTTTTGCTGCATCCACCACCACGCCGTTGTGCTGCTGGATCATCATCAACCTCTCCTTTCCCCTTGCTGGATCAAGAAGGAGGAGACGTCATCCGCTCCGTACGTGTGTTGAACGCGGAGGTGCTGTCCGTTCGGCACTTGGTCATCGGTGATTTGGATCACGGCGAGTACGACTCCATCATCACCGTTCTCTTGAATGCTTCCGCACGCGATCTACAAAGTGGTATGTAGATGCAATCTCTCTCTCCCATGACTCGTTGCTTAGATGAACTCATAGATGGATCTTGGTGAAACCGTAGGAAAAAATATAATTTTCTGCAACGTTCCCAAACAAGGTGGGGGTAAAAGTTAATGATAGTGTGGGACATTTTTTCAAAACCTTCAAAGGGCTTAAACAGGGGGGCCCTCTCTCTCCTCTGCTATTTGATTTAGCAGTAGATGCCCCTGTCTATGATAATGGATAAAGCTAGAACTGAAGGATATATTAAAGGGGTCCTTACTGACATTGATGAAAATGGGGTGAACATGTTACAATATGTTGATGATACTGTATTCCTGATATAGGATAATGAAGAATCAGCTAGGAATCTAAAATTTCTTTTAATTGCCTTTGAAAAAATGTCAGGTCTGACAATAAATTTCCATAAAAGTGACATTTACCTTTTTGGAGAAGCTAAAAGTAAGAGGAATCTCTATCAAGAGATCTTCACATGTGCCCTTGGGGAAATGCCTTTGAAATGTTTAGGCTTACCAGTCCACAACAAAAGAATTAGAAATAACATATGGAGGAATGTGACTGAAAAAAATGAAAAAAGATGTGCTTGCTGGCAGGGCAGATTGCTCAATATAGCTGGCAGAGTTACATTGGTACAATCCTGTCTAATAAACATCCCCATTTATATGATATCTTTTTACCTACTCCCTGTTGGAGTTAGGAAAAAAGATGACTTCTATAGAGCCAGATTAGTGTTGCAAGCTGAAGAAGATAAAAAGAAATATCACTTAGTCAATTAGAAAACTTGTTGTCTTCCAAAACAGCAAGGGGGGCTTGGGGTGACAAATCTTGAAAACTTCAATATTGGTTTGCTTGCCAAATGGATTTGGAAGCTAGAAGATGAAGATGGACTCTGGCAAGATATAATTAGATCTAAATATCTCAAAGACAAATGCCTTTCTGGTGTCAAACACAAAAAGGGAGACTCGCAATTTTGGTCTAGCCTTCTCAAAATTAGGGGTCTGGTTTACCCTCATATTTAGAAAAAACTTGGTGATGGTAGAGATACTAGATTTTGGGAAGATTGGTGGCTGGATGATAAACCCTTGAAGGAGGCCTACCCCTCACTCTATTCCATCAGTAATGACAGGGAGATCACTATTAGAGAAGTAATAGATAAAGTATGGGGGGTATGTCTTTCAGAAGAACAATATTTGGGGATTCTGAAATTCTTTGGGATAGCTTAAAAAGGAGATGTGAGGAAATCATAGTGTATGGAGGGAGGGACAAACCTATGTGGATGTTGACTGCAAACAGAAAATTTTCTGTGAAATCTTTATACTTGCATCTTATTAAATCAGATGTTGGCTTTCCACAAAGGTTTTTGTGGAAAGCAAAAGTACCCGCAAAAATTAAGTTTTTTCTATGGCTCCTGAATAAAAAGACATTCTAACTAGAGACAATTTACTAGAGAGGGGCTGGAAAAGAGGAGAATATTGATCATCTCTTCTTCTACTGCTCTGTTGCTAGGCTCATCTGGAGCCTGGTTGGGTGTGCTTTTGACCTTAAACTTATCCCAAAAGATCTGAATGATTGTTTTGGAAATTGGTTGAATAAATTCAACAAAAATGATAAGAAGCTGGTTTTGACTAGTACTTCTGCTCTATTATGGGCAATGTGGAATAGTAGGACTGATATTATATTTGGCAGGAAAAATATAAATGATCCAATTGGGATCGTTAAAAGAATGTGCAATTGGATTACTGACTGGGCTGCTCTGCAGAAAAAGGACCCAGGGGAAAGAACGCTGATGCTGGGGGTAAGACTCATCGAGCAGGTGTCAAGTGAAATCTATAAAGCTTCGCAGGGGTGGCGTTTCGGAGTACCAAGGCTACAAATGTGATGCTTCAGGGAGCAGAAGCTGCTACTTCTTCGGATCTTGCCATTTTGCTTTCATGAGTTTTTAGTCTCTTGCTTTTTGGATGGAATGTAATGTACTTCGGTGATGTCCTCTAAGTTTGTCTGTCTAGTTCGTCTAGGGAGAGTTTAGCCGCTGATGTGTGGCTAGACTTTCTTCTAGTTTGTGTTGTCTGTTGTTTGGCTTGTAACATACTACTAGCTCTCAACTTCGGCTTGGTTTCTCTAATAGAAATCGGAGGGGAAACACTCTTTTTTTTCGAAAAGGGGGAGCTCCCCGGCCTCTGCATCAGAAAGATGCATACGGCCACTTCAATAAATAAAAAGGTTCAACAAAGTCGTATAGTCTTCAACAAAATAAAAGCAAGCTCACCAAGAGCATCACAGCTAAATCAAGATAAACCACAATGGCCACAACCGGCTGGTAAACAAAATAGGAGCACTAATAGCCTATCCTATTACATGACCGCCAACCAAACCGGTTGAAGATATCCCGCGCTACCATCTCCCACCGGACAGATCCAGTAACCAAATGCTCCCTGGCCTCCGTCGGAGTGAGTAAGGACCACATACGGATCAGCGCCGTAGCACGGAATAAAACCTGCAAAAAATGAATAGTAGTTATTCTGTTAAAGACCAAATCATTTCTGCAGTTCCAAATTGCCCATAACAACGCATACACTCCTACACGAATATGTCTAGCTGTTTCGGACTCAGGGGAAACACTTTTTTAATCAAAAAAATAAATTTGGTATGGTTTAGATGAAATTCATCCAGTTATGCAGGCATGGTTGGATGACCGTCTCCTGCATGAGTGTTCATGAAATGGTCCGGACCAATATGCAGACAAATAATGTCTCCAGTTCAGGGTCCGTGTCGAAGATGCGTAGCGAAATTTAACCGAGAAAAACATGTACTGTGGTGGAGAATAGCATATGGAGAGACCGGTCGAGGAGCAATCAAGAATGTCAAAACAGAGGATTTTACCCTTTTTGTTTGCATTTGAGATGTGAACATGATTTTTACTCGAAGCTTCAATATCACGCTTTAAGGGCGGATCAACGACGCCTTTTTCAGGTTGGCCCCACGATCGCGAGTACGCGATACATGGGCCTCGAACGATGATCGCACGCATCGCTTGTCGATCGAAGCTAGTCGGGGACACGTATGCTCGATTCCCGTCTCGATCACAACCCAACCTTTCCCCCCTTGAATCCAGCATGTCTATTCTCACAGGGATACACTTGCGAAAGCTAGCCTGCTGCTCGATCGTCGACGACCCCGACCAGGAAGCGAATTAAGCGCCGGCCGGGCGCAGCGACATGCTAGGGCCATCGGTGAAGCGGCTGGCGTGGCTGGCCGCCACGAGGCCGCTGGAGAAGGCCGGGATGGTTTTGGTCCTCGCCGCGATGGTGTTCTCCGCCGCCGCCGCCGCGCTGCTGCTGCTCGCCTGCCCCGCGTCGTCCCGCTGTTGGACGGCCGTCGGGTCCGCCCTGTCGGCGCCTAAGAAGCTCTGGGGCTGCGGAGCCTCTGTCGCGCCCGGTGCGGTGGCGCGGGAGTGCGACTTCTTCGACGGGGAGTGGGTGCGGGACGACAGCTACCCGCTCTACGAGTCCAAGGACTGCCCGTTCCTCGACGGCGGGTTCCGGTGCTCGGAGAACGGCCGCCCCGACGCCTCCTACACCAGATGGCGGTGGGAGCCGTCGTGCTGCGATCTCCCCAGGTCGGTTGGTTGACCCCTTTTCTCGTGTGTCGTCTTTTACAGTTTTACTTACTTTTTTCTGAGACATTTTACAGTTTTACTTGCTCATTTAGTTACGCACCAGGTCCAAATAAAATCAAACTGATTCGGTCGTAAGTTTGTGCCGAAGCGAATCTGTATTGAAACTGAAAGGTTTATAGTCGGTGATGTTGATAAGTCAAATCTACTCGAGCGATTGTACCTACTCAAGTATTCTAGCAAAACTTGTGTCATTTTCTATGTCATAATCTGTATTTATGTGATTTCTTACGTTTGATGCTAAGAGTATGCTAGAGAGGCTACGAAACAAAAGAGTGGTATTCGTCGGCGATTCGATTGGAAGGAACCAATGGGAGTCTCTGCTCTGTATGCTCTCTACGGCTGTTCCAGACAAGAGCTCCATCTATGAGATCAATGGCAGACCCATCACAAAGCATGATGGATTCTTTATATTCAAGTTCAGAGACTACAATTGCACGGTTGAATATTACAGGTCTCCTTTTCTGGTCCCGCAAGGTCATGGACCGGCTGGAGCCCCAAAGTTTGTTAAGAGTACCGTCAGGGTGGATTCCATGGATTGGATGTCTGGACGGGGTAAGTGGAGAGATGCTGACATGCTCATCTTCAACTCTGGGCATTGGTGGACAAAAGACAAAACAATTGGATGGTGAGCAAGTTGCTATCATATATCTGCATATTTATGTTGAGTTAATAGCTTTTCCTGTTTCATAGAACTATTTTTTAATACAAATTAGTTGTTACCTAAGTTGCATAATTATTCGTATGTAATAATTTCTGTGTTTTAATGTGAATAATTTCAGAGAAATGGTTATCTCCATGTGATCAGGATTAATATAACAGTGTCCTGATTAGTTTCACTGTTTGTTTTTGTGAATGGTTTCACTGTTTATTTTTGTGAATAGTTGCACTGTATCCATCACCTTCAAGAATTCACCTTCCAATTTCGAGAATATAGAACACACTCATTATGGTTTTGGTGTGCTTTGTGCTGATTGATAAACCATTCTTTGTACTTCTGTTTTTTCTTAAATAAGAATAGTTAGACCATTATAATTGCACCATCATCTGTCTGAAACCAGGCTTACATTTATACACCAGTGGTGCGTATTTTCAAGAAGGGAACGAGGTGAAGATGGATATGAGCGTCAGCGATGCTTACAGAAGATCAATAAAAACACTGTTCGACTGGCTTCAGAAAAATGTTAATGCAAACAAGACCCAGGCCATCTTCCGTACCTATTCTCCTACACACTTCAGGTCTGTACCCTAGCAAGACAGCTATTTTTTTCCTTTGACAATAAACATAGCTAGTGTTAATAAGTTGTTCGTTGTGGTACTTGATTAAATTGCAAAATGATCCTCACTCTCCATGATCGACCACTGTAAATTTCTCTGCAGCGGTGGTGACTGGAATTCTGGAGGGTTTTGTCAGCAAGAAACACTTCCAGACATGACACCGTTCAAATCGCTGGAGCAATGGGCCGACATGCTGAAACCCGTGAGAGATATTCTAGGGAGCCATCACAGGCCCAAGCTGCCTGGGCTGGATATACTGAACGTGACCCAGATGACGGCCCAACGAAAAGACGGCCACCTCTCAGTGTTCAGAAGTCCTCTGAGTTCAAGGCAAGCCCTTATCAACAAGACATCAGAAATTAAAGAGGTAGAGGATTGCAGCCACTGGTGCCTGCCCGGAGTCCCTGATGTCTGGAATGAGCTTCTCTACGCCCTCTTCATGAAAAGGCAAATCATGTTGGACCAAAATGTCTCCATTTCTGGCTCGAGAACACTGATCACTGATCGACAAAGTATAGGGGATATATCCACGTGATGCACTTGCTGAGAGGAAATTAAGTCCAGCAGGTCTCATGACGAGGGGTTTCTGTTAATTGGAATCAGGGAGGGTTGCGGCCCTCGACTATGTGAGTAGCACAAAACTACTTGTGCCCTTAGTTTCCTGATAAAGGGGAATTTTGTTGGCTCAAACGCCGCATCAAGATGATAAACCCACAAAGAGTTTATACACAGACACTTGTACATAATGATAGACATTATGACATTTTATATTTTGTGTCAAAATATTTCTCACGATAAATCTAGCGGTACTAGTTTCAATTTGCTAATACAATATTTTTGTATCTCTTAGCAGCCACAGTTCGGAAATTGTGACTACATGTTATCTACTCCCTCCGTTCCTAAATATAGGTCTTTCTAGAGATTTCACCAAATGACTATATACGGAGCAAAATGAATGAATCTACATTCTAAAATATGTCTATATACATCCGTATGTAGTAGCCCATTTAAAAGCTCTAAAAAGACTTATATTTAGGAACGGAGGGAGTAGTTACGAAAGGTACCGTTTCAGAAAATGTTACAAACATTATTTTTCAAAGGCGAGGCCCTAGTCCATGATCTGAATTATAGTTGGAGGCTCTCGGGTTGCTCAACCTTCACAAATTCATTACCGCTCTTCGTCTCTGTTGGCTTTGGTTTCAGTGGCTTGATCCTTCCAAGCCCTGGATTGGGCTGGGGTCTCTGCGTGATGATGATGACTAACTGGGTGATGTTTGCGGCTGCCTATAAGCCTAGCCATAGTGGGAGTAACAAGGTAGCAACATGCATCCTCATGCAATGTCAATGTAAGGGCATTCTTGTCCCTCAGTAGTTTTGGTGATTGATGGCAATGCCTCTGCGGACTAATCATGTGTATTAAGCTTTTCAGATATATCACGACTAAACACAAGACGATTTGATGCCCCTCGAAGATTATTGAAGACGGCGTTTCTCTACGGATCGGTTCGGTGGAGTTGAGTCATAGGAAAGCCGTACTATTAAGAGGGGGTCCGCTTTGGAAACGTTTGGGTGGAATCTCACGTACACGTCCCCTTCTGCACTGCCTTTCCTCTAGCTCTTTGGAGTGTTCCTCCGTCTCACCTTGTCTCTGCGAAATTAAGGTCTCTGTGTTGCTCTTCTCAGGCTAGCGGTAGTACTGCTCCTCAGAGCGGTACTACCGCAGGAGCCAGCGGTAGTACCGGGCTCCAGCACGGTAGTACCATGGGCTCCCACGGTAGTACCGCTCCTCACGAGAGGTAGTACCGTGAGTTCTGGACTGGCGCCGCTGCTCAAGCGGTACTAGGCGTGGATGTAATTTTTTACATCCGCGCTCTACGCGGTAGTATCGTGATGCGGCGCGGTAGTACCGTGGCGCCTGGCCAGGTTCAGCAACAGGAGCGGAGGTAGGGGCGGATGTAATTTTTTACATCCGCACCCTTCACGGTAGTACCGCACCCCTGGTCCCGGTAGTTCCGTGTCGGATTTTCGCACGACAATATCTCAGCGGAGGTAGTCACGGATGTAATTTTTTACATATGTGCCTACCGGCCTGGCTTGTGGCTGACCTGCGGTAGTACCGCATGGGGCTGCGGTAGTACCGCGCCTGCGGATCTACCGTGCCCTGTCCGTGCTCTTTTACTCAGGTCCGGGCTCTGCCGCGCCCATGGTAGTACCGCGGTCCGCCGCGGTAGTACCACAGGCCCATGCGATAGTACCGCTCCTGTGGTGCGGTAGTTCCGCGGGTCGCGCGCTGAGTGGTGGTAATGGTTGGAATTGTCCCCACACTATATAAGGGGGCCTTCTTCTCCAAGAAGACTCACCTCTTCCAACCCTAAGCTTCATTGTTGCCCCAAGCTCCATTTTCGGCCGATCTCTCTCCCTAGCCAATCAAACTTGTTGATTTGCTCGGGATTGGGTGACAAGGCCCCGATCTACACTTCCACCAAGAGATATTCGATTCCTCCCACTAATCCCTAGCGGATCTTGTTACTCTTGGGTGTTTGAGCACCCTAGACGGTTGAGGTCACCTCGGAGCCAAAGTCCATTGTGGTGAAGCTTCGTGGTGTCGTTGGAAGCCTCCAATTGAGTTGTGGAGATTGCCCCAACCTTGTTTGTAAAGGTTCAGTCGCCGCCTTCAAGGGCACCAATAGTGGAATCACGGCACCTCGCATTGTGTGAGGGCGTAAGGAGATTACAGTGGCCCTAGTGGCTTCTTGGGGAGCATTGTGCCTCCACACCGCTCTAATGGAGACGTACTTCCCCTCAAAAGGAAGGAACTTCGGTAACACATCCTCGTCTCCACCTGCTCCACTCTTGATTATCTCGTGCCTTTACTTGTGCAAGCTTATTTGTGTTGTTTACTGTCGGTGTCAAAACCGGCGGATCTCGGGTAGGGGGTCCCGAACTATGCTTCTAGGCGGATGGTAATAGGAGACAGGGGACACGATGTTTTTACCCAGGTTCAGGCCCTCTCGATGGAGATAAAACCCTACTCCTGCTTGATTAATATTGATGATATGGGTAGTACAAGAGTAGGTCTACCACGAGATCAGAGAGGCTAAACCCTAGAAGCTAGCCTATGGTATGATTGTTGTTTGTCCTACGGACTAAAACCCTCCGGTTTATATAGACACCGGAGAGGGCTAGGGTTACACAGAGTCGGTTACAATGGGAGGAGATCTACATATCTGTATCGCCAAGCTTGCCTTCCACGCCAAGAAAAGTCCCATCTGGACACGGGACGAAGTCTTCAATCTTGTATCTTCATAGTCCAGGAGTCCGGCCAAAGGTTATAGTCCGGTCATCCGGACACCCCCTAATCCAGGACTCCCTCAGTAGCCCCTGAACCAGGCTTCAATGACGACGAGTCCAGCGTGCAGATTGTCTTCGGCATTGCAAGGTGGGTTCCTCCTCTGAATACTTCATAAAAGATTTTGAACATAAGGATAGTGTCCGGCTCTGCCAAACAAGTTCCACATACCACCGTAGGGAGAATAATATTTGCACAAATCTAATCTACTGACGTATCCCGTGGCGTGACATCACACCATGGCCAAGCCTTTATTCATTTTACTATCCCACCTCAGCATGTTTAGTGAGGCGGTTTCCTTGGCACGTCTTGTCAAAGCAGAGATCGTGTCCCCTTATTCCGGGATTCTCACCAATACGGGCGTGGGTAACCCAATCGTTCCTGTTGGTATGTCTCCCCAATCGAAGGCGAGTCCCAAATGGTCACGGGGAAGGCTCTTGGTATTCAACCTATTTATAAAGAGACCAAGGCTCGGATCCTTTCTTTCAATCTCAATCAAATCCGCCCCTCACCTTGAGTTCCAACACCCAAAGCTCCATATTCAGGCGCTTCGGACCTCCGACGATGTCCGGCTCTGCTCTTCAAGGCCGGTGGATGTCTTCCTCCGTTACGGAAGAAGACGTGTGAAAGCTAAGAGATGTCAGGTATCTAACCGGCGAAATCTCGCATAGGCTGCCTGCTCAAGGGCAGGTTATTCCCACTCCCATGCCTGGTGAGAGCGTGGTGTTCGCGTCTCACTTCCTTCGGGGGCTAGGCTTCCCGACAGACCCCTTCGTGCGGGGCTCATGTTTTATTACGGGCTGGAATTTCACGACTTAGCTCTGGAGTCCATCCTCCATATCTCATCGTTCATTGTCGTGTGCGAGGCCTTCCTCCGTATTACTCCTCACTTCGGATTGTGGCTTAAGACCTTCAAAGTAGATTTGAAGATGATCGAGGGGCAGCACGCGGAGTGTGGAGGTGCTGTTATAAGCAAGAATGCCAACGCTCCATGGCCCGAGGGCCTTTTTCAAGAGGAGTTCAGCTTATGGCAACGAGAGTGGTTTTACATCACAGTTCCCAGGGGCACCAAATGGGTGGCGCCACCTGCCTTTCGCTCGGGTCCCCCACCACAGCTAGCGTCATGGGTCAATAAAGGGCTTAACTGGGGGTCGTCCAAGGACGTGCCCTTGTTGCAGGGCCGCATTCGAGATCTCTTAGAAAGAGATATCAATCTGGCCGTAGTGACGCAGGTTATGTTGATTCGCCGCATACTGCCCGACAAACGTCGCCCCCTCCGCCTGTGGGAATTTAATCCGGAAGGACCGCGAGCCCTCCAACATTTTATGGGCGCGACGCCCATGGAGATGTACAAATTGTTCTTCGGATCACAAGCAATGTGTCCGGACTCGTCCGAGAACACAGGTCTGAGCTGCAATCGCCCAGATACTCAAGTAAGTAGCCCTGTACCCGGACTCGCTATCCGTATATTTATCATAAAATTGCCCTTTAAAAGAGTTGTCCCTTAAACATGAGTGGATAGCGAAAGCAAAGCTAATCAGGTGTCCAGCCCCCCTCCCCGAGACTACGTCGGATCCCGTGTTAACCAGGATGCTGGAGGTTGCGCCTTTGGAAGAAGGCGAAGAGGGGAACAAGGGAGCTACCGCCTCCGTGAGGGAGGCTGTCAAGAAAGGAGGAATCGAGAATTACTCTAACCAGGGGAAGAATAGGACCACCTCTGAAGACCTGGAGGTGATGGCCTCAAAGCAGGGGAAGAGATCTTCGTCAGAGGGTCCGGCGCCGGGGGGTGCCTCGGTCGCATTGCGCCCCCAAGGGGGTCAGCTCTCCACCGAGCCGTAAGTAAAGAGGGGGGTTTTAAAATGAGATACATCCCTGTTCTATTTCTAAGGAAGATAACCAAAATTTCACCTTGTAGTTCGGATCTCAGCCCTTCTCAGCAGAACTCATCTTCAGGGGATCTTCGTCCGGAGATGATGGAGAGAGGAATGCCTCCCCCTGCCATACCGCCTTGCGAGGCGGGCGACCCTGAGGTGTCGTCACGGAGGGTTTCTCCGAATCCGGCAGGGCCGGAAGGCAGTCGTATGGCCCCCCCAAGGCCCTCCGTGTCCGGCCTTCGAAAAAGGCCATCGAACGAGTCCGACACCGTCTGGTGCACGGTCGGAGGAGCTGAAGGATCTGCTCGGGCA